GGTTTTGCCTGCCAGGAGGCCAACATTAGCCCCAGGACCTGGCATCACCTGCCAGGAGGTGGGAACCAGCCCCAGTATCTCTTAGACCCTGACTCCATGCTCCAGTGGGCCAGCACTAGCCCCAGGGCCAAGCCCCCAGGGTTCCACAGCCAGCCACCTCATGATCCAACCACCAACCAGTGACCAGTGGCCAGCTGCCTCTGTACCAGACAGGGCCTGGCTGCCAACCGGTCCAGGTGCCATCCACACCTACCAGACTGCCACAACAGAAGGACCCATGTGGCCCACATGGAGGGCACACCACAGCTCTGGTGATGAGAGGGGAGTGCATTTCTGGGACACACAGAACATCTCGAACAAAAGGCCACTTCTCCAAGGTCAGAAAACATAACCAACCTGATACCTAGAAATAAATACAGCAAGTTAGGAAAAATGAGGTGACAGAGAAACATGTATCAAACAAAGGAAGAAGATTAAACCCCAGAGGAAGAACGAATGAAGTGGAGACAGGCAATCTACCCAGGAAAGAGTTCAAGGTAACAGTTGTAAAGATGATCAAATAATTCAGAAGAAGAATGAACTGAGCAAAAAGTCAGAAGTTTTTAACAAAGAGTTAGAAAATATAAAGGACAACCAAACAGAGATGATGAACACAGTATCTGAAATGCAAAATACACTAGAAGGAATCAACAGTAGACTAAATGACACAGATGAATGGATCAGCTGCGATACAGAGTAGTGGAAATCACTGATACCGAACAGAAGAGAAAAAAAGAATGAGGACAATTTAAGAGACCTCTGGGACAATAACAAGTATAGTGACATTTCACATTATAGGCATCCCAGAAGGACAAGAGTGAGAGAAAGGGCCTGAGAACATATTTAAAGACATAATAGCTGAAAAGTTCCCTGGCTTGGGAAAGAAATAGTCACCCAAGTCCAGGAAGCACAGTCCCAGACAGGATCAACCCAAAGAGGTCCACACCAAGACATAATGGCAAAATTTTAAGATAAAGAGAGGATATTAAAAACAAGTTTCTACTATATAGCACGAGGAACTATATTCAATTATCTTGTAGTCACCTATAATGAAAAAGAATATATGTATGTGTATGTACGACTGAAACATTATGCTGTTCACCAGAAACTGACACAACATTGTAAACTGACTATACTTCAACTAGAAGAAAAAGAAAAGAGAGAGAATATTACAAGCAGCAATCAAAAAGCAACAAGTTACATGGAAGAGAACTCCCATAAAGCTACCAGCTGACTTTTCAGCAGGAACTCTGCAGGCCAGAAGGGAGTGGCACAATATATTTAAAGTGACAAAAGGGAAAAACCTACAACCAAGAATACACTACCCAACCAGGCTCTCATTCAGATCTAAAGGAGAAATCAAAAGTTTTACAGACAAGGGAAGCCAATAGAGTTCAGCACCATCAAGCCAGTTTTACAAAAACTGTTCAAGGGAATTTTCTAAGTGAAAAAAAAGGTTTTTAATTAACTATCAACTAAAAACATGAAAATTTTGAAAGAAAAAAGCTCACTGGTAAAGGCAAACACACAGTAAAGGTAGGAAATCCTTCACACACAAAGGGTATAGGAAGGTTAAATGACAGAAGTAGCAAAATCATCTATATCCACAATAAGCAGTTAAGGGACAGACCAGACAAATAGATTTAAAATGTCAAAAACAGTCATCATGAGGGGAGGAGAGTACAAATGTAGGGCTGTTAAAATGCATTTGAAATTAAGAGATCAGCAACTTAAAATACTCATATATTCATATATATGTATATATATAGAGAGAGAGACAGAGACTGCTACACAAAAACCTCATGGTAACCACAAACCAAAAATCTTTAGTAGGTATGCACATAAGAGAAAAAGGAATCAAACATTACAGTAAAGACAGTCATCAAATCACAAGGGAAGAGAACAAAAGAAGAAAGTAACAAAACAAAAAAACCCCAAAACAATTAACAAAATGCCAATAAAAACATACACATCAATAATTACTTTAACTGTAAATGGACTAAATGCCCCAAAAGACAGAGTGGCTGAACAGATACAAAAACACAACCAACCCATATATATGCTGTCTACAAGAGGCTCACTTCAGATCTAAAGACACACAGTCTGAAAGTGAGGGGATGGAAAAAGGCATTCCATGCAAATGGAAATCAAAAGAAAGCAAGGGTAGCAATATTATATCAGACAAAACAGACCTTAAAACAAAGGCTGTTACAAGAGGCAAAGAAGAACATTACATGATGATCAAAGGATCAATCCAAGAAGATATAACAATTGTAAAAATATATGCATCCAACATAAGACCACCTAAATACATAAAAGCAAATGTTAAGACATAAGTATTAACAACACAATAATAGGGAACTTTAACACCCCAATTACATCAATGGACAGATCATCCAGACAGAAAATCAGTAAGGAAATACCGGCCTTAAATGACACATTAACCATCAACAAAATGAAAAGACAACTACTGAATGGGAGAAAATATTTTCAAATGACATGACCGACAGAGTTAATATCCAAAATATAAGGGAACTCAGTGGTAGAGCACATGCTTAGCACGCACGCACGAGGTCCTAGGTTCAATCCCCAGTACCTCCATTAAAATAATTAATAATAAACCTAATTACCACCCCGCCCAAACAAAAAAAATTCATTAAAAATACACACACACACACACATATATATATAAACATAAACAGCTCATACAACTCAACACCAAAAAAAAGAAACCCAATTAAAAAATGGGCAGAAGATCTGAATGGACATTTTTCCTAAAAGGACATACAGATGGCCAACAGGAACATGAAGATTCTCAACACCACTAATCATTAAGGAAATGCAAGTCAAAACTATAATGAAATATCATCTCACATCTGTCAGAATGGCTATCGTCAAAAAGACCACAAATACTGGTGAGGCTGTGGAGAAAAGGGAACCCCTGTACACTGCTGGTGGCAGCCACTGTGGAAAACAGTATGAAGGTTCCTGAAAAAAAACCAAAAACAGAACTATCATATATCCAGCAATTCCACTCCTGGGTATATAACCAAAGAAAATGAAAACTAATTCAAAAATATACATGCAACCCAGTGTTTACAGCAGCATTATTTACAATAGCCATGATACAGAAGCAATCTAAGTGTCCATCAACAGATGAATAAGGAAGATGTGGTATGTGTATGTATGTGCATATATAATATATACATAAACACCAGTCCGCCATAAAAAAGAATGAAATTTTGCCATTTGCAACAACATGGATGGACCTGGAGGGTATTCTGCTTAGCGGAGTAAGAAAGAAAAATACTGTATGGTATCACTTATATATGGAATATAAAAAATAAAACAAACTAGTGAATACAATAAAAATGAAACCGGCTCACAGATATAGAGAACAAACTGGTGGTTACCAGTGGGGCAAGGTGGGGGCAGGATAGGGGGAGGAGATTAAGAGGTACAAACTACTATGTATAAAACAAGCTACGAAGATACCTGTACAGCACAGGGAACAGAGCCAATATTTTATAACTATAAGTAGAGTACAATCAATAAAAATTTTGAATCACTATGTTGTATACCTGAAACTAAGATAATGCTGCAAATCAACTATGCCTCAATTTTAAAAAGCTACAGAAGCCAAGACTCCATTCCAAACCCACTGCAAAGACTTCCCCTGGTCTCAATGACCGCTGTAACTTCAGCTGCCTCCCCTGACGGTCCATCTACAGCACAGCTTATCTGAGTAACAGTTCTGATGTCATGATGTTTATTTCTAAAAAACCCTCTGTCCTCCACTTTACTTTCAAATTTCATTAGTCATTCGTGGTGGTAACTCGGCACAATGGAGCAACATGTATGAGGCAGTCGTCAAGTGGCAAACGTTGGGCAAATTTAACAGACCCAGGTTTGAACTTTCGCCGTGTCACTACTGAAAAAAATTAATCTGAGCCTAATCCTGCCTACTTCATGGTACCCTAGCATCGTGGAACATAAATGTACACACACACACACACACACACACACACACACACACACACAAACGCCTGCTCCTTGCCACTGTTTCCTCTGAGGGGTCCTGGTTTATTTTCTCCATCCTAACCAAGCTTGCTTATGGTAAAGTTATGGAAGGCTCATTAGTCCCGACCTCTTAAACTTTTGCTTGGGTTCCTCACTGTCATTTTGGAAATGAGCTTAAAGGACACTTTGTGTTTTCCCCTATGCTGCACAAACATGACCTTCAGAACAACTGCTCCCCATATTAACCCTATTGGGTTTCCTGTCACTAACTTACAGAAAGCAGTTTATAAACATTATTATGTCGTTAATTCCTAAACCTCTCTAATAATCTACATTCCTTGAGGATAGGGACTGCGACTCTCCCTGCATTTATAAGTCCCCCAAAAGATCCGCATACATTTTTCTGCTGCGACAGTTCAACTGTAGTATCTTTCAGCAGGAATGAAACCAAAGCGTATCTACTGGCTGGTGGGGACAGTTGAGAAACAGTTGGCATGTTTGTGGTAGACCCTGTTTGCAGCCTAATATCCAAGAATCAGAGTGCTGATTTTTTAAAAATTGTGGCAAAATACACGTAACATAAAATTTACCATGTGAACCATGTTTAAGTGTACAGTTCAATGTATTAAATACATTCATAAGGCTGTGGACCATCCATGCCCAGAACCCTTTTCATCTTGCAAAAGTGAAACTCTGTACCTCTTAAACAACAACTCATTCCCCCTTCCCCCAGCTCCTGGCAACCGCTGTTCTACTTGCTATGAACTTGACTCTTCCAAGTGCCTCTAACAGGTAGACTCATACAGTACTTGTCCTTTTGTGACCGGCTTGTTTCACTTAGCATAATGTCCTCAAGATTCATGCAAGCCTCAGCATGTCAGAATCCACTTCCTTTTTAAAGCCGCCTATTATTGATTTTCGAGAGAGGGGGGAAACAACTCTGCATGTCCACTGTACCAGACTGCTTTATTTATTAACATGTCATTCTAAACATTACATAAATACAGCCTATGTAACTAGAGTATCAAACATTGTTCCAGTAAGAAGTTCAAGAGTACATTGTAGGGCTATTTTAAGAAATATGGGTATTTTGGCTTTCATTATTACATAGGATGAAAAAAAGCAATTCAAAGACTAGTTTTCATCTCCTGCTATGATTAACAACAAAACCAAGTAGAAAAAAGAGTGTATTTTTTTAAAAAAAGATACTCAAATACTTTCTGAAGGACTTATTCCTGCTGTCTTCACTGAATACATACTCATACAAATTATTCAGTAATCTGAGAAGTGGTTATTCACCTTTTAGGAACTCAGTAAATAGTTGTTCAATGAGCGAACTATCTATGGAAATGGACCCACTACTTTAATTTGTGCTTTTTTTAGCTTTTTTTTCAAGTAAGAGCAACAGTAAACATACTTTAGTCCTTGTTTTGTCCAGATCATAAGCCTACAGATAGTGATTACTACAAATACTACTGATAGTAGCTAATAATCAAATTAATGTACATTTATTAACCTAGTAAGAAAATTGGATCATGTTGCAGAACTAAGTTTAACCCAGTAACTCCCTGGGCTTCAATCACTTGTAACAAGGTCGAGAAAAGGAGGCTGGGACTTCTGGGTTTGTATTTACTTCACTGATCAATGAACTTCCATCTTTGGGCCCTCACCTCCCTCACACACACTTAGAAGCAATACTAAAAATAGTAGCTGCAGCCTCTCTTCACCCTCTTGTAAATTTGACTCTGAAAATATATCTAGGCTCCAAGTTCAGATGGGAGACCTTCCTAACAGGAAAAAGAGTTCACTAAGGGAGCCCCCACAAATAGGGAAATGAGTCTTTGGGCCAGAGAGCAGAACAGAACTTTGTTCTTGAAGCAAGTTCAAGGGACACACATGATAAAACTCAGTTGAACACTTACCTCCCAATGTCACATTTCATAATCAAACCAAAAAGTAACCCCAATAATTTAGATCCTTTTTCGAAGTTAAATTGTGCCAAATATTATACCTAACACAATGGAAAGGAAAGGAAAATCAAATGTGAAAGCTGGTGAAATTTCAAATAAGCAAAATCTGTGATGGTATTTGGCATTAATAAAATTGATAAAACAAATTCCATTAAGCCCTGTAAGAAACTTGGTTTTAAGAACTACTTTTTTGAGTCAGACGTAGCAGATCAGATGATTTCAGCCACCACAATTTAGGAAGGCAAGAGTATACTGAATACATCATTATTTTTCTCTTATGATGAGCATTATAGCAGGAAAGGGGGAGGGTGTTAAATCTGGGTTCTCAAATTTAACCTTAATAAAATACTGTTAGTAGTGGAGACTCTGATTTATAAAATGTTCACCTTTGCCCAAGTGAAGCTTCTCTCACTATCAACTTTTCACAGGTAGGTCTATGTTACTACTCCTTATGTACTTAAGTCTTAAGAGAAACCTTGACTAGCCTAGAAATTTATCTTTACATAATTAGCATTACAATGGATTTGTATTATTTTGAAGTTTAAAAAAGTCATCAATAATGCAAATACACAAACAAAAGTCTCAAACAATCTTAACTATTCCTTCACAGTAAGGCTACTGAACTGGCAACTAATGCAGCCCTTCAACAAGCCCCAAGTCAGCATCTTGAATGCCCGGCGGGGCCTCTGTGTCCACCTCACAATTCACACGCTATCCCAACTCCTGGTGTCAAAAGGGTTGTTGATATGTGAGCCAGGAGAGTTGCCACAAATCTCCCCTTTCCAACTTCAGAAGTTCCTCTAACCAAAAACAAACAAAACAAAAAACAACCAGCTAAATTTGCACCCTTTTACAGTATCTCAGCCAAACGTAAAGTCACATTTAAAACATACGTATCTGGAAACAAGAGTTGTTTAAAGTGGGTTCAGGAAAAGCTGTACACCCTTCACACATCCCTCCACAGAGAACTGTATCTCAGCAAGAGCACAACCTGATGGGTTTTTACCTGCAGAATTACATCACCCGTAGAGCACAAATGACAGGCCACCACCAGCCCCAGAGCACTCACACAAAACCCAGCAGCCTCGGGCTTCAGTTCTTAAAGGCTCCACATTTACTGGCTTTAGCAATGAATTCCTTTAGCAGAGGGCCATCCATTTGCCAAAATGCTGCAGTCTGTGTAACTTCTGTCAAATGATTGACGCAAAACTTAAAGCAGAATTCTTCTAAATCCTAGACACACACAACAAAAACAGAAACAAGAAGAGGCCTTTTTTTATTAACTTTGAATACTTCTCTCCAGTTCCCTCACCCCAAATCTCTCACCCTCCCACAGAAAAGAGATTTGAGGCCTAAAACCTCAAACAAGGCAAACAAGTGACTACAGGTCTGGGTGAGAAAAATGCATACTATTTACTCCCCATGCAGTAAAAGCAGT